GTCATGGTAGATCGGCTTACAAAGATGGCGTACTTTGTCCCTTGTAAGAAGACATCATCCAGTGAAGTCACAGCAAGACTCTTTCTCGATAATGTGTATCGATATCATAGACTATCACATGATATCATATCAGATCGAGGAATCCAATTCATGTCAAAGTTTTGGAGATCTCTCTTTGGGATACTGAAGGTGGATATCAAGCTTTCTTCGACTTTTCATCCTGAAACTAACGGCCAAACGGAACGGATAAACCAAGTCTTAAAGCAATACTTACTATGCAGCATCAATTATCAGCAAGACGATTGGACTGCATATCTATCGCTAGCCGAGTTTGCATATAACAACACCCTCCATTCATCGACTCAACACACACCATTCTTTTCTAACTATGGGTATCATCCGAATCTTGATTTATTGAGTCCATCAACAAATAACAATCCAGCAGCTGAAGGATTTGCGAAGCAACTATCAAAGCTTTAAACTACATTGAAGCTTCAATTACAATCCGCTCAAGAATCTTACAAGGCGTCTATAGATAGATTTCAGAATCAAGTACCTACTTTCAAAGTTGGAGATAAAGCATGGCTTCTTTGACGAAATATCAAGACCAAGCGACTATGTGATAAGTTGGACTATCGAAGATTAGGACCATTTATCATTCAGAAGCAAATCAATCCAGTGGCATACCATTTGGAATTACTGGCTTCTATGAAGGTACATCCAGTCTTTCATGTTTCACTGTTGGAGCCTTATCGAGAGTCGTCTTTTCCTGGAAGAGTGCAAGATCTGCCACCTAGTATCGAGATCGAGAACCACGAGGAATATGAGGTCAAAAAGGTATTGGATTCACGACAAAAGTGGGGCAAGTTGGAGTATCTTGTTCATTGGTGCGGCTATGACATTAATGAGCGAACGTGGGAGCCAGCTGAAAATCTCGCCAATGCGCCACAAAAGGTACAGGAGTTTCATCAACGACATCCTCATAAACCCAAGTTGGTTCGACAATAGCTTCTTTCTGAAGCTTGCTCACCAAAGAATATAAGAAAGGGAGAGAGAACCACCAAAATTCGTAGTAGCTATTTTTTCAATAGCCATAGTTTGATCTTCTCATATAGATAACCAAGAGATAGATACTTTGCCAATTAGATTATCTCAACTGACTAGCTCACGAAGGCGACCTCGAGATGAAGAACTGCCTGCACCACAACGACGACGGATGATACCGAGTAACCGATCACTGGTGATTGTATTTGAGATCGAGCCCGCTTACGATGGTCAGCCAAAAGGAGTGGGCCACTACCGTTGGCTTCAAGGGCCGATGAACCACTTGCCTCGTGAACAACAGTTGGAGTTCATAGTAGATGTTATGCGACAGATCTTTATTTTCTTGTGTTGGTACTGATTAACAACAACATTGCTTCTCAGAGACCTCGAAGCTAAATGAGGGGGTGATGTTAGGGACATAGTCCTTAGAACCTTCTAGAGATAAGTTTCTGGAACCTTCTAGAAGCTTTTTAGTTGATGAAAGTTGCTTGAGAAGTATCCTAGTTGGTTGAAGTTGCTTGAGAGGCTTCCTAGTTGATGGAAGTTACTTAAGAAGCTTCCTAGTTGATGGAAGTTGCTTGAGAAGCTTCTTAATTGATGGAAGTTGCTTGAAAAGCTTCTTAAATAGGAATATATATTGGAATCGAGGCTGAAGAGTTCTTCAGTCTCGACAACACATCTCTTGAAGCTCTAGCTCATCTCTCTGGTATTTTTTTTGTATTCATCTGATTAAACTAGTTCTTGCCAGTTCTTCTTGAACTTCTTGTTACATCTCAAGTCTGCATTTCTGTGTCCGTGACAGTAGCATCTATAATCTTTCCTTCTATAGACAATTCAAACAAATCCTAAAAATTAAATTAGAGGAAGGTAATCTACAACTTCTAATAAAAATTTCTATAAAGAGAGATAATCCACTCTCTTTAAGGAAAATATCAGTGTTAGAAAACAAGATATTTTGTTAAAAGATGGGTAGTCCGCAACCTTCAAAACACAACAATAGAAGTGGGGTATTCAATTCACTTCTAAAACAAGCAATAATAGTATGTTAGTACTCTTGTCAAACTATGAAGGACATCAATTTCAAAGAAAGAAATCCTCAATGCACTTGTATCACTAAAAATAACTAAAAAGTCACTCAAAGATGATATATGATTGAAATAGAATAGCTATTATCAAAGACAAAAAGACTTGAAAGTCTTAAAATAAGATTAAGGACTAGAAAGGCGTTGACAAGAATGAAGAAGGCTTTACTTTTGCCTCCATATATATTCTTAACTAAGAGCTACGTGGTGATGTCCTATAGAACCTTCAAAACGTGTTGACTTTGTTAGCTACATGTCTTAACTTTCAAAGCAAGTTATCTATGTATGCACCGCATCATTGGCTTATTCCACAAGCTATTATACAAAGTTAACTTGTCCCACAAGCTACCAATATGTAATTAATTTGTTAGCTAAGTTTCTATCCTATAAATATATCTAAATCAAAATCACATTTATAGAGATTTTAGGAAGCTTTCCTAGAAGATTTTATGAAATTAATCTATATTTACCTACTTTTATCTAATTATATAAGTAACTACTAGGATAAATGTATTTGTTTGCAACAAAGAGTGAAGTCTTTCTCAAACTTATCAAAGTCTTTTTAATTTTTACTTCTTAATTTAATCCTCTCTAGCTTCATTTTACTTGATAATCACTATTCTAGTTCATTTATAACTTATATCTATTTTTTTTTCTTACTTTCTTCTTTCCTCTATAATTTATGATTGTGTGTTCTTTTAAATTTTACCTAAATTTATATCCTTAATATATGCCATTTTTAGATAAGCATGTGACAATATGTTTAGAGATGATTTAAAAATAAAAAACACTTCTTTGTAAATACCACTTACCATTTAAAAGTTGCATTTGTAAAATAAAGTATTCTATTAAATAAAAAATATAATGAAATCAATAATATTAACATTCTGAAACTAAACACAAGAATTGAGACTTTATAAGTACTAATTTAGTAATTTCTATAAGGTGAATAATTTTTTTTTTTTTTTATATTATTGTGCAAATAATTTGGCTCAAATTTTGTATAAAAATAAATCCAAAATAAGATTTTTTTTTTCAATTTAAATCTTTTATTTTATATTCTTGCTAGAATTTTATTGTTTATTTCTTCTTCTTCTTTATTGTAAATCATAATATTATTGAATTTATCATACATATAATTTTTAAGAACTTTGTATGAGTTTATTTATGACATAATTATTAATACGTTAAACATATTTTATTTTATTTATTATCAAAATAAACTTGATTTTTAAAGAAAATTGAACCTATAGATTAATTATACTACCTAGTTGAATTTAATCATAACCACCTTTACTACCTTGTAAGTATTTTAGAATATAAATTTAAAATATAGATATTTATTAAAAATAAATAATTTAAGAAAAGACAAGATATAAAACTTATGTATATTTCTTTTTAAGTAATACTTATCATTAGCTTTGTTTTACAATATCTCTTATATCTATTTCATAAATTAAAATATTATTCTTTTTAATACAAATAAATATTAAATAAATAATAATAAAAATATAATTCTAATTTATATTCAATTAGAAGTTATAATAATAAAAAACAAATTTATGTGACATGGTTATTCTTATTAGAATATTAACTAAAGTTTTGAGTGTATTTTGTAGAAACATTATAAATCTCATAACATGTTTTAAATTTCAATAAAGTTAAATTTAAAAAACTAGTTAATTAATAAAATAAATTTAATTTTTATAGTAATGTGATTTTTACAATCTTTTATAATATGCATGTTTGAAGTGCTCTTCATTGTCAAGCATTGGATTCTAAGTTTGATATTTGCATAATTTTGATAATATGAAATTATTATTAATAAATATTATAAAATAATATAAAATAGTATGTTTTTATAATCATAATTCAAAATACTTGGATCATCTTAATCTTTTGAATTTTATAATATTTAAGATATTTGATTATATATGTGGATATATTTTTATCTTATATATATATATATATATATATATATATTTGTTTATTTAGATTTTGAGTTTGAAATTTTGAAGTCTTAAATTAGCTTTAAATATTTATTCTCATACTATGAGATTTATCTAAATCAAGAATTTTTATTAAAACAAAATAAATTATTGAATTCCAATATCAATTTTTCAAAAATAATTTAATTTCATATGATTTCAATCTATTGTTTTTTTTTTTTTTTTTTTTTTTTTATTTTGTTTTTTTTTCATAATAGGAAGAATTTCACTCTTATTAATATTTATTTTTGAAATATTTTGATTGTCTCCAATTAAATCGCAAAAAGTTTTCCATAATGCTTGAAGATATTTTTTGTATTTGTGTTGTTGTAAGAATGTTACAAATGTAATAATATTTTTAATTAGCTCGTGAGTACTTTGTGAGGAACAAATTTTTGAGATGTATACACACAAATTTCTTACATCTATATTTTAAATCAAATTTAAACACTTCAAGAATACCATTCTAATTAATTTGACTAAGTCGATTTATATGATTTTATGTAAACCTTTATTAGATATAAAAATGACTTATCAATATTTTAAGTTTGTGTTTCTCTATTTGGAAGACCAAACAGTGCAGGAATAAACAGAATTATCAATATCAGAAATGTTAAACAATTATAAACACTCATTCAGGAATACACAAATGAATTCACATAATACAAGCACTAAATCAAAATGGTATTGGTGATCGGCTTTAATCATCATTATAATGCAATACACATTCTTGTGAACTAACGAGTTATCAAATTACTCAAAAGAATGAAGAATGCCCATGATCAGACGAATCTCGTTGGAATTTGACAGTTTCTCCTCATTCGTTTTTATGTGTAAAAAGTGAGACGACAGTTTTGCACGGATTTTGGTTTCTTCATCTCCAACTGGGTTTGGAGCATCACAGTACCAGGCATGGCTAAATATTCAAACCCTCATTTCATCGTGCTGAAACCTAGTGCCTTAGCTTTCGATTTCTCCGCATATGCTTCTTCGTAGGCCGAGTGTGTCAATGTTCAGAATTGCCGATGCAGTTTGTGTGTAATTTCGGCGCTTGATTTGCTGGTCGATCGCATTTCTTTGTTCCCTGTCGAATGATGTAAGTATCGGTGATACCTGTAGGATTATGGTTTAAATCCATGGTAGTCTGTCAGATTGCGCTGATTCTGTTCTTACGGCGAGTTTGGCTTATATGTCATATTATAGTTTCCAACAGGAAAAGTTGAAAGAATCAAGTATCTCAATACAAATACCTTGAGTTGCAGATGGTTGTGTGAGACGGTCCGATGGCTTGAGTGGTTTGTTTCCACAATAATGTGTGATGAAGGGAAACGAGATTTTGTTTCGTAGATTTAACCGTCACGAAACCTGTAGGATATGCGAGGGTCCAAACACGTTTCGTGCAATAAACCTTGGTGGTTTTTCCGGAAATATTGATATCAACCTGCTAGTTCAGCTTGTGGCGGTCAAAACTTAGGTCACTGGTTATGAGAAAGCAAACCTTACTGATGCCGTTGAATTCGCACATACTGCGGACTTTCCTCTCTACTTCTTTATTTGTTTATGTTTTATGTTAATATTAACGATGATGTCCACGACTTTTTAAAATTATACCTGGCTTCTCGAACGATGGTTTGCTCGGCAATGTTTGATTGCACAGAAGGGGTCAGCAGCATGCAACACACACCTTGATAACAGGAATCAACGTGATTGGAGCCCCTCAGGCGCTTAGGTCAAGTAGTTTTTTCTTTAAATTTCTATGATCTTAGGATGGCATCGGTTTCTGATGCCATGTGGTGAATGTCCGCAGATGTTCCTAATGGCTTTTTCATTATCTGGATCTGCAACAGCTTGCTGTAGCAATCATCGACTGGGATCATTGCTTCACCAGGTAATGATGCAGAAGTCAGGTTTGATCGGAACAAGTCCTTGTCCCATGGACAGTGTTGTACTACCTTCTTTGCTTTTAAAAAAAATCTTATCCTCGTCGCTGAAGACTTCCATTTCCACTTTGTTCAAAACACCAACAGTAGCTCTTCGAATCATCGGTGTGTGCAGCATTCTCAACTGCACACTTGGATGGAAGTTTGCCTCCAAAAGGGTTACAACAATCTTTTTAATCATTTTCCCTATCTGTTCAGCTCTCGGTCAAAGGTAAGCTTGAAATCATCACTGGAACAGCTACCTTCAAATTTTATCGATGCTGGCAGAGTTTAAGAATCCTACAAAACTTGATCGCCATAGTCATTAAGTTGGATTTTCATTACATACAGTATGTTTTTGTTTTTGTTTTTGTTTTGTTTTGTTTTTGTTTTTTTTCAAAGATTTATGTGGAAAGTGTCAAGGTGCTAAAGAGGTCTCGAGGAACTTCGTGAAGAGGATGATCTTTTACAATACTTTGTAATGTATTTTTTGTCAGTGATCGTGATTGAACATCACGTCACAAAATTGAAAACATACTTCAGTTTTGATAATTGCTGAATGAAACCAATTAAAGTGCAGTTTACATCTAATGAAGTAACGAAAGAACGAAGTTGAATCGGCAGTACAAGTCCTCAATTGGAATGTTCGATGATAATCGCTGTATTCTATTGTTGAGGTGAAACATAAACTTCAATTGTAGTTAAATGTGTATTAGTTTATCGAAACTTTATAATCCTTTGTTGAAACCACGGTAAATGGAGCGTATTACCTTTTAATCTCAAATATGTCAATTAAATCAATTCAATCTGTAATTAAACTAATTGAACAATTTTTTCAGTTGAGTTACTTATATAAGTATATCAAAGAATGTGTAAGATTTTACATTTTGTTCAAAGACTAAACTCAACTTTAAGTAGTACAATACATGCTTGCTATATATATTTACATCTTTGTATTATTTACTTTCGTGATTTATCAATGTTGACACGACCCTATAATTTAAGTAAATTTTATTTAACCTTGATAATATTTGTTCCACAAATTTGTTAACATATCAAGTCAGTAGTATGCCTAATGATTTTGAAATCAACTAACATTTCGTACAGGTGAACAATATTTGAAAGTAGATTATTTAGGATCAAACATCGTATAAATGAACATGACAAAAGAAATAAAGAAACAAATGGAAGTCACTACAAGTCACTGTCTTTGCATATTGTTATCATGTTTTTTTAAAAATACAACGTTTGAATTTAGTAACCCAATTTTCCTTTTTACAGTAATGACCACAACTTTTCAACAACCTAAGTAATAGTTAAGGAGAGTAGATTTACGAAAAACAAGCTAAACGTCGAGAGGAGCGTAAACCTAAGAGCGAGAAATTAAAGCCGCAGATGACAGGAGCAGTAGCGACTGGAAAGTAAAGAGGAGCGTGAATGATTTGGCGCTTAGGACAGGGGCTCCAGCATCAGGGTGCCATGTGGCGTCGAGGTGCGGAGCAAGTCCAGACGTGGAGATAGTCGCTCGGGACCAACCGCATCAAATCGGCGTCCCGAAGATCTTCGAACTGGGGCCCGCTCATGCCCTGAACTTGGGGGAACAATGGCCGCATGCAGGCACATTTCAACGTCGCACCAGCCAATGAAGAAAATCTATAGTCACCTAATCCAAGTTTAGGCTGACAAGCGACGAAGCCGGACAGTACTCTCCAGCTGGGCTGAGCGCAACAATCCCAGGCGGATTGGCGTCGCTAGGTCGCGGCGCAATGTGGACCTTGAACATATCCGGTTCTGTTCACCTGCGCCACGAGCACTTTCAATGGCATCCTTCAAGCTGGTGAAGTATCTCCGTGAGGTCGGTCAATACAGCCGCTGTCACGGCTGTGCCTACGTCCATGCTGCAAGGGTTTTGCGGCGACGACGCGTGCCAGCATGCCACTCGCACAGTGCTCCTGAAATCCCTGAGTGATGTCAATGGAGAATGCCAAAATGACGACAGTAATCGGCACTCTGCTCCGTGAAGTGAGCTCGGTGCGTTATGACGCAGTTCCTCGATCTCTGTCCACACCGGCAGTTCCACCGTCGCTCTGACTTTGCACAGGGAGCGTAAGAAACACCTAACAGAAAGGGCATAAGTCCTCTACCTAGGCGTGGACTAAAAGCCCAGGGGAGCTGTCAGCGGTGTAGTGTATGGGCCCAGGCCTGATTTTAAGGTTCACCCTGACTTTTCAGAGTGACTTTCGAACTGGCAGCCCATTAAAGAATCTTTCACACGTTGAATTTTCCGCTGTAAAGCTCTTTAATCCAGCGCCGATACAGCAGACCAACGGCTGGTGAGAAGTCTACCATGCGTCGTCAAGGTTACACATTCATCTTCATCTTCTAGGTAAATTATATCAGTGTTTGTTAGTGTCTACATCTAGAGAATAAGTTGCGGTGCTTTGCAGCTGGATGCGGCGCACAAGATTGCCAGGAACGACGACGACACGATGGAAAAGGAGCACGGATCTGATGCACTTCGACTCGTCTCCTGCGACGAGGAATTTGATTTCATGAAGCTCCGAGGCCACAGCGTTATGCTCCATAAGTTCCATTTACGTAGTCGTGGATGAAAGTGTGGTTCTCAATCGTTCATTTAATTCAGGTTTGCAATGAATCTCATTCAATTCACATCTACAAATTTCTAGCAACTGGACTATATTGTGTTGATTGAGTACAGTCAAAAGGAAATTAATGCAGTTAATAAAAGTGACTAAAACGCAACGTCATAAGTATGAGACATAAATTTACTTATTGATAACTAAATAGTTCCTTGATTTAAACATGTCTTTGAATTGAGAAATCTTCTAAATGTTGTCTTTAAGTGAAGAAGAGAAATTATATAACAACTAACTTATTCTCATGACTTGAATATCTAATTTGAAGAATATATGAATGAATTACATAGTAAATAATGATTAAACATGGAAAATTAACTATTACATTTACTAATGCAAATGGTTTTCCAATTGATAAATACTATACAAATTACCATATAAATTTAGTAGAACAACAATAATATCTGAAGAATCTATTTCAATAATTGCTACTATTTCATTTTCTTTTTCTTTTGAGCTATTTCGACATGTTTATTTAATTATGATTTTCGAAGGTTATTTTGACCAGCATTATATTGGATTTATTCAACCCATTGTTTCATAAAAAATCAAAAGTTGTACGAAACGAATCTGTACTAGAATTCCACACTATTGTCAATTTTAGACATCACACCAACTAAAGAGATTTGCAAGGCATAAAATTAAATACAACAAGTCTACTGAATCAATGTTAAAAAACACACTAAAGTTAACACTAACGATAGCTTTGAATTCAAAAGACCTCGGGACTTGAACCAACGTTTTCGGCGGCCAATGCTGACGAGGATGATTTTCGGGGTTTCTGAGCGACAGCATGTGAGCTCGAATTCGAAGCACCGTTCCGTCGACGAGGCATTGCATTGCACGAAGTGCTGAAGGCGAAGTGATTGCTCTGGAGATGCACCGAAATCTCGTAGCGAGTGAAGAGTCCACTTGGGAGGATTCGGTATGTGTGGGTTTGGCCATCCAGGGCGGTGAGATCAGATATTCATGAGACAACAATTTGGGTGCTGCGACACAATTGGGTATGTGCCTACTACACACCCTAGTGCTTTACGAGCCAGACGATGGTGTCCTCAATTCAGCACAAGTGCCCCATCCCCAACAAGTTGATGCCATATGGTCCCCACCTGCGAATCCGACGCGGGGTCCAAATTTTGTCGCCCAGGTGTGAATCGTGCACGCAAACCCGAAATTTCTGGAATAGTGCAATCTCCATCAGTCCAGCAATGCCATCGTTTCTACACCGACACGTGCATGAATCTCACACACGAGAGAATCGTCAACGTTTTTTTTTACCCATGTTCAAATTTTGCGACAACTCGTAGTAAAATTGTTCCAATGGAGAGTCCCATGTAGGGACTTAAGATGTGCGGAGGCGATTGCAGCATGTATGGGAAGGATTTCCCCGTTGGTGCAGATCTAAAGGTTCACGCGGACATCGATGTCAAATCGAGGTGAGAGTGAGAACATGGAACGCAGCGTTCTCGCAGGATGGAGAAGGATGGAGAAGGATGGAGAGGGATGGATTCGTCGAGCTATTTTCGGAAGGATGGTGTGGACAGCCGGAAGGCTTCTCTTATTCGTTGCATTGACTAGCCCGGCACGTCACTGGATGAACCACCGCCACTTGAGGAGGAACGAGGTGGGAACGAGGCTCCTGCTTGTCTCCTTCCTCAGGTGCCTGCCGCTCCAGGATTTGGTAGGGAATTCGTCGTCGTTGGTTCTTTTTTTTTCGAGATTCTGGGACACTGCTCCCGAGCGCGGCAGGAGCTACCACTATTGCAGGTGGATCGAAAACTTCGTGAGTTGGAACAATCCGCCGCCTGAGACGAGAAGAGATGCTGCGTGTCTGGAGAACTCATAGGCGTCGCGGTCATCCTGAGAAGTAAGTCCAATGACCTTTCTGGGTTCGAGGAAGAGGTGGTGGGCAGATGGGACGTGGACCTTCTCGTGCATGATGAATTATATGTGCTTCAAGTCTCTGAGTCTATCCATTGCATCAGCTTCATGACTTTCTAGTAGCTTTTCACTCTAAAACTGTTTCCTCAGTTCTCGAGGAGCAAGTTCTTTGCCCAGAGGCTAGATGCGACAAGGATGCGAGTGTCGATTGGTTTAATTGGACTGGGTTGTAGTGAGTACCTGGAAATAAGTGGTGGAGGTTCTCTCAGACATGCGGGGAGCACGTAGTCTCCTGCACTATTTATTACTTGATACACCAGTTCCGAACTTTTTTTGCCTGGTGAAAGTGCTTGTGGAGTGTGTGATGCTGGCAGCGACCCTAGCGTTGAAGAGTGGCACAAGCTTGTATTCTTCAATTAGTGTTTTGATCTAGACTTGGATTGGGTGTTCACGGATGTCATGTACAAATTTGTCGCGTTTTTCAGGGGTGGAGAGCATACTCCTGACAAGTTTGGTCCTTGTGATTGACCAGCCCGTTCGTGAAATTGTAGAACGGGAAACACTCGCGTTCAGTCAAAGATCTTTATTACAAAGACGAGGTTTCTATTACACGAGAGTTAGTGTACAGTTTTTGCCTTATTCAGTCGGGGAGAAGGTTGGGAGCCTTCATCGGTTTTCACATCTGGTAAGCTGAGTGTATTTCGCACACAAAGGACGCGATTCATTTACAGCTTATGGATTATCAAAGATACACGTGACTGATCACGGGATCCGTGAGCTTGCGGTTTTTGGTCGCAATATTCTGAATCTCTACACCGGTGAGGTTCGGTCGAAGCCGTGTTTTTGTGACTTGCTCCAGTAACTAGTTACTCTATCCATGCTCCGCCTAAAATCACACATTCTGCAGTCTATAAGCAATCCATCGATTCTGTTGTCTCTCTTTTTAGTGGATCCAACACACAATGTTCTTGCAAACAGTAGTTGTTGCACAGCACGATTCCATATTGCCCCTACAGATACTCGAACTGTGATCGCAGGTTTTCGTTTCTGTTTCCATTTTAAATCTGGCGCAACCGATGCTGACAATCTTGCCGCCTAGCGCACATTGGGATCTGGACTTCCTGGTCGGTGACTGTATTAAGACAAATCGTTACAATCTGGGCGTGTGTCATGCGTGGTCGACATTCACATTGTGTTTTAGGACTCTGGTCCATGACTCATAGATGTACAACCGCAACTTTAGGATGAGTAGATCTAGTGGTTTTCGCCTGTGTTCTGGCAACTCCTTCGTCTGGTTGTTTCACTCGCCAATGGATAGCGTTTGTTCAGTTTAGGGTTGGGTGGAGATTCTAAGCATCAATACAACTAATATAAGCGCCAGAAAATATTGCCAATAGCACTTAGTCTCACCAGGAATTTAACTCTTATAGCTGGATTTCCCGTTCGACACTGCCCTGTTGATTTCTTTAGTGTTCTGACCACAGCTGTGCATCTTGAATGCCACAGGAGCAGCGAAGCTTAAAGCTCTCCAAGCGGATCACTCCACCATCCTTTCTGTGCTAGTTTATGCTATCTTCTTGAAGGTACGTTCTACTTCGTTTAGTTTCACCAGAATGCATAGATCCATGGGTTGAGATAAGTTGCACATACCTGTCCTGAAGTGAAAATTTTGGTGAATCTCATAACAAATTTCGACATTTGGATGTTTTAGAAAGTTATATTCGCAGAGAGTTTGTAGTGAAACATGATTTACTGATTTATAGTTTGTTCGACACTTGTTGTTGATCCAGAGTGAGGCTGTTATGTGCGAAGATGACATATATGTAGCGGTCGGTGCAGGATCACAATTCAGCATTTCTAGAAGCTTAGCGCTTGTGTATTTTTACACACACCTTGAAGTTGTACACATGTCTGCCTCGATTTGAAATCTAAAGCTGCGGACGAGGCATGGTTACTGTTCCACGTTAATCTTCCACAATTGGAGTCGTTTCCGAGAAGATGAATCCCTATTCTGCAGCTTCCTGCAAATGTATTCTTATTCAACAACAATCCCCCCACCTTTGCCAAGACAACTTGGTTATTTTACCACCAGCATCTGTGAAGTTTGAAGCTCGAGATTGGGCACTGTTGATAGTGTAGACAGGATAGTCGACATCAGTCAATTTTCATGGCTGAACTGATGTGGAGGGCATGGCTCATCGGTTCTTATGGGGTCTTCTGTTACGTTCTGCTTCTCGAAGCATGGCTGGTAAATGGTCTTAGGCAGAACGATGCAGGTACAATTCTCCCTTCGTTCTCTCTAGTGTATAGTCATTGACTAGTAACTTTGTTGTTTTGTGTCTCGTGATCCATCTTCTTAAATATAATCAGGAGCAAAGTGTAGCAATTCGAAACTGCACTTGGTGTTGTTCGATGATATTATACAATGATATGTGTAATTAGCATTGATAGTTCCAAGCAGTCATTCCTCTTGCTACTGAGAAGCATGTCGACAATTGCCTGCTTCGGCAACCTGAGATGTTATTTGTCTGTGTTTGTTATGAGATTCTAACTCGAGGAAGGGTTTGCCGGGATTTTGATTTAACAGACAAATTGCAATACCGTGGAAGGTATCTTATGCAAGCGGGACCTATTCCGACACCATTAACGATACCACTTCCTCCACCCCCTCCTTCTGAACCACCAACCTCACTTTCAGAACAGCGTTCTCCTCCTCCATCCGAAACCTCGCTTCCTCCTGCCATTACCTCCCATTCACCACTAGCTCCTCCTCTAGAAACAATCCCACCCCCTGTTTCTCCCCCCCCTAGTTCTGTGGAACCCCCTCCAAGTCCTCCGAAAGAATCTCTTCCTCCAGTTGTAGGACCCGAGCTTCCTGCACAAACTCCTACCGAATCCCCTCCTCCACCTTCTATTACTCTCTCTCCTCCATCTCCAGCTCACTCTGATGTCCCGCCTCCGTCTGTGCCCCCTCTTACACCAGACTCTCCACCCCCTCCTGCTGTAGATGCTGTCCCACCATCCATCCCAGACTCCCCTCCTCCTCTGCTCGAAGCGCCTCCGCCACCTCCAATTTCTCTACCTCCTCTATCTCCAACTCCCTCTGTTACTGCTACACCTGATGTGCCTGCTCCATCTACGCTTCCACCCACATCAGACTCTCCACCACCTCCTGCTGAAGGTGCAGCTTCACCATCAATTCCAGACTCCCCTCCTCCACCTCTGATTATCATACCACCTCCATCTCCAGCTCCCACTGCTACTGCTACACCTGATGTTCCTCCTCCATCTACCCCTCCTCCCACATTAGACTCTCCACCACCTCCTGTTGAAGGTGCCGCTCCACCATCAATTCTGGACTCTCCTCCTCCTCAGATTGAATCCCCTCCTCCACCCCCGATTACCATATCTCCTCCGTCTACGCCTCCCCCCACTTCAGACTCTCCACCACCTCCTGATGTAGGTGCCGTTCCACCATCAATTCCAGACACCCCACCTCCTGCAAGTAACCCTCCCCCTTTGTCAATACCAAACGCTCCACCCCCCTCATTAGAGGTTCCCTCGCCCCCTTCTCTAGGTGCTCCGCCTCCAACTACTCCAGATTCTCCTCCTCCGCCCAATGTTCTGCCTCCGACTACCCCAGATTCTCCTCCTCCACCCAATGCCTCGCCTCCGACTACCCCAGATTCTCCTCCTCCACCCAATGCTTCGCCTCCGACTACCCCAGATTCTCCTCCTCCACCCAATGCTTCGCCTCCAACTACCCCAGATTCTCCTCCTCCACCCAATGTACCGCCTCCAACTACACCAGATTCTCCACCACCATCGATTTCCCCACCTCCCACTTTGACTCCTCCTAGCATTCCAGTAGATCCTCCGTCTTCGCAACCTCCCGCAGTCAGTCCTCCCCCTCCTGTGTCTATTCCACCATCTGAACCTCCCACAAACTCACCCTCACCGCCAGCACCAATTCCTTTCGCTCCAAACCCTAGTCCTACCACCTCACCCTCTCCACCAAGTACGGTGTTCCCTCCTCCTTCTCCTTCTCCCCCCTCTCCACCCCCCTCGTCTCCTGATTCGCCTCCTTCTCCTATTCCTCCTAATTCTTCACCCCCTGATGCTTCACCACCCCCACCTCGTTCGCCTAGTCCTCCTGATGTTGTCTCTCCACCGTCAGAGGTTCCTCAACCAGCTGCTCCTCCCAGTACTCAATTATCTCCACCGGCAGCACGTTCACCTACAACTGTGTCGCCTCCTCTACCTTCCACACAACCCCCGCCTCCTAGGGATCACTTGTCACCACCAGCTGGAGCACCACCTCCGAACTCAATTCTTGCACCACCTCCGCCCTCTATTTTTGCGCCACCTCCATATGCACTTGCCCCTGGCCCGGGAGTACAGGGTAAATTGTCTTTATCATCTATGGCGACTCTCTTTCAACTAGTTAAGCTTCATTGTATGGTAGAATGTGTATGGTAATGAGCTATAAGCTGACTAGCTTTGCATTGCTTAGAGACTGATCGAGATTGGTGTTCGTTTGGTTTTGAGCAGGATGCTGCGCTCCCAATATGATGCTTCAACCTGGATCTCTGGGAACTATCCAATGTCGATGCGTGTATCCTGTCACTGTGAAGCTGCAATTCATCAACGCCTCGAGCGATACCCCGAATTTGCAAGAAATTTTTCAATACGAGTTAGCATCACAGCTTAAACTCCTTGACGTGCAAGTTTTTGTAAACTATTTCAAGTTCGGTGAGAATTCGAGCTTTTCTGTGAAGGCTGGAAAAGTGGATGGTCCAATGAACGTTGAATCTGATATTGGGCCAATATCAGGCATCAGCTTTTCAGTTGCTGAAATTTCGAGAATCAATCAAACGATTTGGTCGGGGAAAGTGAAGTTCAATGAAACTTACTTCGGGGATTACTCGGTGATCAGTGTAACCCCCGAGTTTATCCCCCCAACTATTCCGGTGGCTCCTCCTCCTGTGATAACCTCGCAGCCCTCTCACGAAATTGCGCCTACTCCCTCTAAAAGTTCGTCAACTGCATTGTATGCGGGCATAGGAAGTGGTGTAGGGGCAGTGCTCTTGTGTCTTGTTATAGCCTTCTGCATTTGGAACTCCCTCCATTCGAGAAAACGAAACGAAGAGAACGATACTGTAAGCAGCAGCAAAGGTATTGAACTCGACTTATCTCTCTTGCCTGGTTCTCACAATTTGTTCATAATTGCTGCATTGTTTTTAATATCTGTGAGTACATGGTGCGACGTCTATGTGGTCTTCAACCATTCTGAAGTGAGTGATGAGCGTCCTTCGCTTTGGATTTAGAATTGTTACTTGATTTGTGTTATTCATGCATTGTTACATGCTTTTTTCTGTGACAGTGAGTGCATTGCAGTCGCATCAGCTTGCGGGTGCGCTCCCTTCGAGGTGGGTGCCTGTAGACAGCAAGTCCTTTCCCAGACCAAAACAGACTCGTGAATTCACCTATGAAGAATTAAGTGAGGCAACAAATGGCTTCGCGCCGTCGGCCTTCATCGGTGAAGGCGGATTTGGTAAAGTTTATAAAGGCATCTTGAGAGATGGCACGGAGGTGGCAATCAAGAAGCTCACTACAGGCGGGCACCAGGGTGATCGAGAGTTTTTAGTGGAGGTTGAGATGTTGAGCCGGTTGCACCATCGGAACTTGGTCAAGCTTTTAGGGTATTTCTGTTGTCGGGAACCACTAGTGCAGCTTTTATGTTACGAGCTCATTCCCAACGGAAGCGTGGACTCGTGGCTGCACGGCACTCTATGTGCAACTTTCGGACCCCTGGACTGGCCTACACGCATGAAGATAGCTATCGGGTCAGCGCGCGGGTTGCAATACTTGCATGAGGACTCTCAGCCCTGCGTAATCCATCGGGACTTCAAGGCGTCCAATATTCTGCTGCAGAACAATTTCCATGCCAAGGTGGCGGACTTTGGTCTTGCAAGGTTAGCTCCTGAAGGACAAGGGAACTACGTTTCAACGCGTGTAATGGGCACCTTCGGGTAAGATATATCTTCCAGCACCCAGAGTGCTTCCTTGAATTTGCTGCTTTTGAATTTCAGGATTTAGGGATAAAGATTCGAGAACCCAATTTCGGAGTACGCATTTCTTCGAGGTGTCGAGAAATATTTATGAGGTTTGATGAAGATCATTTCGCTATCGGTGAGTATTAAACCTGCGGTTGTGGCAGCTATGTGGCACCTGAGTACGCTATGACGGGCCACTTGTTGGTGAAGAGCGATGTGTACAGCTACGGAGTCGTGCTTCTTGAGCTTCTTTCTGGACGTAGACCAATCGATCACGCACAAGAAGCTTTTGAGAATATTACAGCTTGGGTGAGTATATCACTAAGATATCCATCCCGTTTTCTGGATTGCTGTGTAGTTCCGAAATGTGGGACGTGCTGCTTTCATTTGTGGCCTACGATTCTGTTTGTATATAATACATAATACCTGGTGATACTTGGCAGGCGCGACCACTGCTCACTGATAGCAACCGCATCCACGAACTAGCGGACCCGCTTCTCGATGGCAAGTACCCGACCGAAGACTTTGAGCAGGTGGCCGCGTTGGCAAAGTCGTGCATCGAGCCGGAGTGGCGGGCGCGACCCACCATGGGCGAGGTTGTCGCTAGCTTGAACCAAATCTGCTGGTCGGGGGAGTACAACACGAGCAGCGACGTGGAGAGAGCAAGTAGCGAGCACGAGACTGGTAATCTACAAAGCGTTGGCTTACCACGCATCTCGAACTCAACCTCGACAAGCTCAAATAGCTCCTCTGCCTTCTCAATGCCATGGCCTGGAGATCGCCGACCTCCCTTTTCTTCATACGCCGCCGGCATCGGCCCTTCTGCTTTCACTCCAAACTCCAGCAACCAATTCACGAGCGTCAGTGGGCTTGTCGACGACTCTTTTTCAAAGACCAACATTGTTTCGGAGGATTTGCAAGAGGGCAGGTAATTTCGCTGCAGGCAGTCTCCACATCGCTGGACGACCTCGGAGTTAACCCCATGGTCTACTATCTGTCGCAAGTTTTGTGGCTGGCCTGGGCTGCCAAGAGGCTGCCTTCTACGAAACCCATGTAGACATGATTGATCGACCGATCTTAATGAGGAAGAGTGAGGGGTCAATTTCGCTTGGGTTCAGGACACTGAGCTGCTCAGTGCACTCGGAAGCTGTGCAATGCGATGCCTGCTCGATGACTGAACGTTTAACTCACTGCGGATGAAGCTTTGTCACGGCACTCGGAACCAGTAAATGGTAGTGTTTTCAAAGTGGATGCGCCATCTGGAATTTTCCCCTCTTTTTTCCTTTTTCTGGTTTTTTTCTTTTTTTTCTAACTCCTAAAAGAGGAGTAAGATTGTAGCCAATGAAGTTCGAGAAAGGTGCATTACCTTCTGCAAGATGCTGTGTAACGCCATTTTCTTGCTGGTCCACATTTGGGATTGCAATTTGGGCGTTGGAGCATCCCTTCAGCATTGTTTCATCACTGATATTTTTGTATCAATCTTCAGTATTATTGACAAAGAAAAATTTTATTTACTACAGCTTAAATATTGAAGCAACAACTAATTTAAAGACAAAGAAATTTTTTATTTATTACAACTTAAATATTGAAGCAACAACTAATTTAAAGGAGGTGTTGGAAGAACAAGTAGTAAATGTTGAGGTAGAGTTCACATTGAAAGAGATTTTAGATATTGCAAAAAAAAAGTTTCATGATGTTATTATTGTCAATATTAAAATAAAGAGACAATTAATATGTGAGGTTGGAATGAGTTATGCTATTGATGCAAAGATATATAATTATGAAGAAGAGGTTGATAATTGTTACAAGCAATAAACAAACAAAAAAAATGGTTGTAATCAATGAGTGTGTTTGGAAGATTCTAGCAACAAAGAAGCAGAAGCTTTAAGCCATCATGCTCGAAAACATTGGACAATGGCAACTATAGAAGTATTGGTGTAAGTAGAAGATGTAGAAGAACTTGTTATTGCTTTAGTTGACTATGGTTCCAAGTTAAATCTTATATCTAAAGATCTTTACAAAAAGTAGAGGTCGCCAATTGATATGGAGCATAGATGGATAATACGAGCAACTTATAACATATGAGATAAATCATATGGAGCTTGCATAGATGTTAAAATCCGGATTTAAGATGTTGCAATAGAAGAACATTTCTTTGTTTAAGATACATCTTATTTAATGATTTTAGAATAATTGTATATTATTTCAATATGGATGGAAATAAAAGTGCTTGATGATGGTTCAGTCTATACACAGATATATATTAAAGATGGAAGGAAAGAAATACAATTTCTAATTAAGCCTCTTAATCATTAATATAATTGATATAGATTGAAGGAAAAGCCATTGTTAAGAGTTGTTGAAGAATTTAAGAATTTTGAAAAAATACCATTGTAAAACAAGATTACGGAGATAAAAAAGAAGAGATACTATTGCAAGAAGTAGGTGCCTTTGATGTAAAATTTATTAGCATTTTTGAAAATATAAGTATTATATACAAGAAAATTGAGGATTTAAAAATAAAAGAAAAGAAAAATATAATATTAAAAAATAATTATATAAATTATGGCCATTAAAAGATGAGCGGATTTTTTGTATTTATGAAGAAAATAAATTGGAAGATTTTTTTTAAGTTAATTACATCTATTGAATTAGGAGATAATGATAAGGTGGTAGAAATTCAATTAAAAGAAGTTTATATTATACTTGAATCTTTTCAAGCACCAAAAGTTATTATAGAGACAAAATATAAAAAATAGACAAGAAGGTAAAATCCATTGTTGGACCTTTATCAAAAGATTTTATAGAATAAATGGTAGAAGCATAAAAAAATTTTAAAAAATAAATAAATTAGAGATTCAAAGAATATTGGACATTAATTTACAAATAAGAATTTTCAAGAATTAAAGATTGGATGTGATGGTTCTTTGTTACCAATAAAAATTAAATATTTTAAAGAATTGCTTGCAAATTAAGATAAATCATTTATCATTAGACCTTATGAAATAAGATGTGTAGATCTTAATATTATTGTTCCTATGATTATTTTTATAAAATCACATATGTCTTAGAATTTAAAGCCAATTATTATACTTAAGGCATACTTGCCTAAATTATTAGAATTACTGAAAGAAAAGATGTAAATAAAGATTTTGAAGTCTTTTTTGCTCCATATTCTTATCATTGGTTTATAATGCTTGAGAAAAATAGATCATTAAATTTTATTCAAGATATATAGCCAATGAATGTAGCAACTATTAAAAATACATGGATAAGACCTTTAGTGAATGAGTTTCCAGAAGCATTTGTAAGAGGGACAATTTATTCAATAGATGACTTATATTGAAATTGAACATATTTAGGCTATGATCAATTTCTACTTACATATAGAAGTAGAGATTTAACAATAATGAAAATATCACTTGAATTACTTAAAATATATACTCTTCTATAAGGTGCTACTAATTCAGTTGTATATATGATGAATGGGATGAATAAGGTATAAAGAAACTTCATTTTTGAAAATAATTATGCCTTGTTTAGATGATATTCTTATCAAAGGATATAAAGAGGGAAAAAAAAAAAGATGAAACTTTAGATGAGAAGGGTTGCTATAAGTATGTTATTGATTATATACAAGATTGTAAAAAGATTTTTAAATCAACTTGAAGAAGTTCATCTTACACTTTTGAGAGCAAATTCTATGTTTGGAGCAAAAAAAAAGTTGTCATTGCTGAACATTTGTGTAGATTTTATAGAAAAAAATCAGATCTAAGTAAAGTTGGTGCAATTGGATATGAAAGTTGAAATATATTATTTGTTTAGTGTGGTAGTAGTAATTGAAATAGATTACTTGTTATTACTTGAAATGAATAATAATTATTCAACATCAAATATTTCAATACTAAGATAGATTGCTTATATCAAATTATTAAATCCAAAATTTAAGCATATTATTGAAAAAAAAAAATTTGGTAGTAGACACTTTGCCTTGAATAAGATATAAAAGAGAAGACAAGCTGGTTGAAGACATTGATGATGTTGGAAAGCAAATTCTATCTAGTATCAAATCTTAGCAAGAATTAAGATGCCACAATAAATGATAGGCAATAAGAAAAAACAACAAAAAAATACTAAAAATATTTTACAATAGTTTATGGATAAGACATAGGAAAATTTGGACTACTTTTGCTAAATTCAAAGAATGATATTGGTAGAAAAATATATATTGAAATGTGCTTTCATTTATAGAATCATATAAAAATTATCAAATATATTCTAATATATGATATCAAGATGGTTTACATCTAACACATTCTTTGGCTATATATTTTAAATGGATTTTTGATTTGATTATTATGCCAATAAAATTATAATAAATAAAATATTTGGTCTTGGCTTGTGAAGTTTTATCAAACTAAGTAGAAGATAGAGCATTGAGAACAAAGTAGTGAAAAGAAATTTATAAATTTTTGCTTAAAGATGTTATTTGCTACTATAGATGTGTAAGAAAAGTCATTGCAAATTATAGAGAATTAAATGCAGAAGAAGCTCGTGATTGCTTTAAAAGATGTGGAGTTAAGTTATCATTGACTATTACTTATAATCTTCAAGGAAATTTAAAAAGTAAACGTGGTCATTGACCAATTGTAAAAGTATTAGTTAAAGCTTGTAATAAGATTGAAGAATGACCTCAACTTTTGTCATTTACATTATAGGTTGATGAAACAACTTATAGTTCAATAATTGGATATATTCTTGTTGAAGTCATGAAAGATTAAAATGCTATTGTGCCAATTGAGGAAAAATTATTTATTTTAAATGTGTTACCATAAAAAGATAAATTGATAAAAAAAAATTATCTATTAGAATTTAACTTGAACAAAGATTGGAAGATGTGCAAATAATATTAAAAAGGTTAAAAAGGGCAAGATTACAAAATAAGATATAATTTGATAAATAACATTGATTGAATCCTAAAGCAATTGAAGGAGATTGGGTTTTGGTCTATGATAATAGCTTAGACAATCAATATAGTACTTTAAGGAAATTTTTTAAATAATGATTTGAACCATATGTGGTAACAATTGTCGATGATAATGCAATCTATTCATTATAAGAACTAGATAGAACAAGGCTAAAAATATTAATTACAAAGAAGCAAGTGAAGATATTCAAACAAAAATATATAGAAATTAGTATAAAAGATCTTATAGAAGATATAATCTTTTAAGACAAGAAGTTAATTTTGACTTTGATAGCAAAAATTATGAAGAAGATTTAGATGAAGATATGGAGAACATAATATAAATCAAACAAGATTTGGATTATTTGGTACATACCAAAAGATACATAGGTTTAGTGGGAGTAGATGTCGTGTGGTAACACAATTATATGGTGAATAATAAAAATATAGATATAATTATAGAAAAGCCTAATGAAAAGATATAATAAAAAATAAAAAATAAAAGGCAATAAAAACTTTAATCATAATTCTGCATTTTTATAAAAGAGAGTTTTATTTATTTTGTAGGAGCATAAATAAGCCAAATCATAGTAAATGAGATAAGTAATAGATATAGGCATGTTTAAGAAAGAATTAGCAATGGATTTAAGCAAAAATTACCTCAAATTATTAAGAATTGATATAAAAAGAAGACCAATTGTAAATCATGGTCAAAATCAAACCTTGAGGCATAAAATTGCATATCTATAGTAATTCTAAGGTTCTTTGGTTGATCAAAGAGTGTAGTTTGAGAACAAAGAAGAGAGAGATTCTTTGAGTATTGATTTCAAGTAATTTGAGTACATAAAGGCTTTACAAAGTTAAGGTTGTTTTTGAGTAACTTTGGATTTTAAAAAATTCAAAGAATTTGTATTTTGAACAATTGTGTAAAATTTATAGATGATCCACAAGTAAAAATTTGTGATTAAGTAATTAATATTATATGTAATGTGAATTTCAAGTTTGAACTTGATCTTATAATTTGTTCTGAGTTTATTGAAGCTCAAACATATTGAAGCCTTAAGAATTGGATTTTAAAAGATTACATATCTGTCAATCCGCTAGTTGGATTGAAATAAAATTTTGCACAAGTAATAAAACTAATTTTTTATAATTATGTAAAGTTTAGGCTCTAGAATATTGGCATAAATGTTGAAAAAGGATGCTAACCAACACTTATGTAAAATTTTGGAATTATCTTCTATTTGTTATTTTTGACTTTCTTCAAAAATATTTGAGTTAATTATTAATTTAATTATTTAAAACTAGTAAATTTTTAATTAAAATAAATTAACTAGTGTGTATACTTATAAGTATAAATAACTTTATTTAATTTTTTTTCAATCAAATTATAAGATTTTATAGAATCACAAAAATCTTCATGAATTATAAAATTTAAAATATTTGAGACCTTAATCCAATAAAACTATCATATTTTTTAATCTTATCATATTATTGACATTAAATATTTCAAACACCTTTAGAACAAGCATAATAAAAAAACTCATACAATTTCATCTA